ACACATACCCTTTCCTCTGCCTCATTCCATATATTTTTCATATTTTTACTATTAATTTTCTTATATTTTCTAAAATACGTATCTTTTTGGTTTTTCCCTATTCTATTTTCCATTTTTATTTTTATTTCTTCTTGTTTTTTCCTTTTATTTTTTCATTCTTTTTTCCTTTTTTATTATATCAATTTTTTATAATTCCTTATTTTCATTGTCATTTCACCTTGTTTCTTCTCATCTTTTCATCTCATTTGACTTATTTTTCTTTTTCATTTATCTTTATTTTTATTGTTTATTTTTATTTCTCATTTTCTACTTTTCATCGATTTTTTATTTTTATTTTTTTCTCTCATTTTTTATGTATCTTTCAATTTACTTAACAATTCTCATTTTTTTTCCTTTTTTTTTTTTGTTTTTGAGCTTAGTGATCCCACTCTTTATGTCAAACACAAACCTTTTCCAAAGGTCTTTCACCATCCTCACCTTATCATTTTCTCTCCACATCACCTGCACACACACCTGTTCTCACAGCCAATGATGCTACATATAGCTGTCAGACTGTTGTCTAAGCCTCTGTGACCAAGAACCCTATGGGAGGGGCGAAACACATCAGAGAGCGTGGCCAGAGTGATGGCTGAGGCCACCCACTACACAATGTTCCTCTCTTAACTCCTGGGGATCAGTTTGAGTGGTGTCCATCTTCATACCCATTGTCTAATAAGACTTCTCAACCGTTGGCACACAAGGTGGTTTGTCTACAGCATACATACAGTGTCTCACCCCACCCAATCACAAGTTTTTTAAAAGTAGACACCTTCTGAAGATTGTTTATACTTACCTAACTTGGAAACCCATGTCCCTCAGTGGTGCCGCTTGCAGAAGTGACAACCGGTGATCCTGCATTGTAGTCTGTGCCAGTACTGACCAGTTGTCTCTTCATGATCAAGTTCTTTAGAGCCTGAGAGGACCCAACTATGTAGTTGCAAAATTATGTACAGTTTTACTAAAACCTAAGCCTGCTTAACGTGCTGCAAAAATGGGTTCAGGTGAAAGGTTTGTTTTTACCGTTATCTTTAAGGGGTTACAGCAGGGGTGTTAAACTGGCAACCCTCCTGCTGCTGCAAAACTACAAGTCCCATCATGCCTCTGCCTTTGGGAGTCATGCTTGTAATGGTCAGTCTTGCAATGTCTCATGGGACTTGTAGTTTGGGAACAGCTGGAGGGCCGCCAGTTTGACACCCGTGGATTATAGTATATACTTAATTTTTGATAGAGTGGGAAAGGATTATAAATTATGTCAGATTTTTATATTTTTATTTATATACTAAACAGTTTGAATGGAGGAAACTCCCCTGCTGGCTTGTATTTTGAACCACGGCAGTCAGAATAGCCAAACAGTGACTGTATATGATTACAAAATAACCTTTTTCAAGCCAGGTGGTGCCACCAGGGCCACCCACATCTTGAGTTTCAGACAATATAGCAAGAATTGCTGGTTATGGCAGGCAGTTCCTATCCTGCTGACAAGTTTCACCAGGTATAAATACAGCAATGAAAATTGTCCAGGAATTCTAGTTTTTCTCTCCACTTTTTTAATACTTTTTTTCTGTGTTGGTGTGGTTGATTTCCCTTCATTTCCCCTTCAAAACCTTCTCAACAGCTCCAAACAGCAGTAAAAACCTTTAGGCTTTACTAAATTCACAATATAACTTGTAAAAGGGGATAAAATAGAGGCTTGCTTTCATGGAACACATTCCTTTTAGTCTCAGAAACTGACCATATATTTCCAAACTCAGGTCAGCTCTTTTTTGGGACAACCTAGAGGTCATTAAAATATACTGTCAGGAGTGTGTAGCTCTCCTGCTCCATCACAGCCTCTGGTATTATGCCAGTATCCTGGTTTTGGTTGTGATACATCATACCTGTCTGTCTGTCTGTGTCTGTCATGTAAGGTGATTGATGAGGCCAGTCTCTGGTCTCTGAGACCAAACCTGATTTAAGCAGGCCAAGCCTGCATTCTCATGCTTGTGATATTGTGTTTGTCTGCCCTGATCTGCTAGTTTGGATTCTCTTGTTGATGACTTTGGATTGGATATCGACTATTCTCTGAACTCTGCCTGCCTTTTGACTACAGATTTTACCCTGACTATTCTGATCCTTGCCTGCCTTGTATCTGGACTGTCATTGAATCCCTCTGCTTGTCTGCCAACCGCAAGTACCTATTTGCTGTTCTCAGTTCGCGTCTGGCCCGGCGTGGTAGCCAGGCACTATAGCATTGTGTATAAGTCCTGGTAGAAACTGAGTACTGGTAGGACTGCTTGCCTTATGGGAAAATGGGCTGCTATAGGTGAAGAACACAGAAGCCAGTTATAATGTCTGACCACCTGCGCTAGCGTAAGCGTGACATTATCACAAGCATGAGACTGCAGACTTGGCTGGCTTAAATCAGGTTTGGTCTCCATCCAGAGATTTGCCACATCAATCACTTTGCAGGTAGACAGACAGATAGGGAGACTGTATCACAACCAAAACAAGGAAGCTGGAATGAGACCAACAGTTGTGATGGAGCAGGAGCGCTACACGCTCCTGACACATACCTAGCTGTTTTAGTTTATGGGAGCTAAAGCTGCTTTTTAGATAAAACACAGAGGCCTGTTTTGATATCAAATTGCTTTTTTGGTCCAGGTACTGATAAAAACTGTCATAAACAGAGACAAGCTTTGAGTGTAAAATCTGCAAATCATCAATGGAGCAGTTTTTTCATTGCTCAAACATTTCAATATCTGTATATGTGATCCTATATACAAAAAACCTTTAGTAGTGATCCTAGCCACCAAAATATTGAGTATGAGTGGAAAAGTGTTTGACTCAAATTATTTCCAACTATGAGGAGAAATTATACTGAAATATATGGTTATTCTGCATTACTCCATTGTATAGCTAATGTTATTATGAGTCATGTTGAGTTTTCTCTCCCTTTTTGAAGTATTGCTTTGGTAAATAACTTCAGTGTCTTATATTAGGTAGCAGTGCAAGTCTTAGTGACAGAATAATTACTGAATAGCTAATTTGATAATTAATGGGGTTCAACAAATAGCAGTAATGTAAGGAACTAATATACTAATGCACAGAGCTGTAAACAGTTTGAGGCAGCTGGGTCAGTTGCAGCATGCAAATTCCTTACTGATGTATTGCAAAATTGTTTTAATGTGGGAGTCAGTAAGAAATGCTCTTTCATGTCTTCTGTCCTCCTAAAATCCTTAGTATTTTGATAATTTTGCAACTGATTTATGCAATATATTTTCAGCGGATTGTAAAGGATTGCTACAGTGGGAAATCTGTGGGAAATTAATATTTGTTTACAAATATACCAAAAGTGCTGAATCACTTATATTTCTAAGAAGAATGGCTAACATTAAAGTATTATGTCAGTTCCTGGGAAACAGGTTAGTAGAAAGAAGAATGAAGTCTATATTCTGTTGTAGTCTTCTCAAGCTGTGTATTAAACAGGACATATACAGGTTGATTTACTAAAACTGAAAAGCGCAAAATCTGGTGCAGCTGGTAGCCAATCAGCTTTTAACTTCAACTTTAACTCAAACTAAATTGACAGGTGCTGCTCAAGGCTCCACCGGGTCCTCTTATTAAGATTATTATTATTATACAGGATTTCTATAGCGCAACAGTTTGCTCAGCGCTTTACAATATAAAGGGAGACAATACAGCAACAATACAGTGCAATACAAAAGGGTTAGAAGGTCCCTCCTCCTTGTAGTAACCACTTGGAGTGCAGACAAGGGCAGAGCTCGTCCCATCTCTAGACGTCTAATGGAAAAGGTAAGAGTCCTAGAAGGGGGAATGACCAAGCTCCGTGGGTGAAGTGAATTGAGTTTGGGGGTGCCCTGGTTGTAGCCTGGGCTGAGGCTGCCATACACCTTCTTACATGTTTTGCAGAAATTTGTGACTTTTCCCTTTCTAAATTCAGCTTGCTCAATTAAGCTTTGACAAAAAGAAACGGAAGCTTATTGGTTTATATGCAGAGCTCCACCAGATTTTGCACTGTTCAGTTTTAATAAATCAACCCCATAGTGACCTTGTACATATTTCTTTCTTTCCAAAATAGTCTTTTGTCATATAAATATTAAATATTATGGGGCAGTTCTGAATAGAAACCCATCAGCTTCCAGGATTTTGGAAAAAGCTTAAGTGAACAAGCTGAAGTTAGAAGCTGATTGTCTAATAAGGACAGCTGCACCAGATTTTGCACTCTCCAGTTTTAGCAAATCAGCCCCACTGCATGCACTCTTTAATCAATATCATAGAGAGTTTGCACTCTGCTAGGGTGTACAGTATGTATGCCAGGGTCATAAGTTTTGGGGATAGCTGCCTTACTTACCTCTCTCATGTTCCTTTATTGTGTTGCTTGACTGCTTGACTGTGCCCTGCTATGGAAGATGCGGTGTGCTACTCAGCCTTGTGTCATGGGTTGATCATGTAATATATATATATATATATATATATATATATATATATATATAGTCGGTCGACGAAAGGCCTGGTTCGCAGTCTCCAGTCTAATTCATCCCAAAGGTGTTCTGATGGTTTGAGGTCAGGATTCTGTATAAGCCAATTTAGTTCCTCCACCCCAAACTGGCTTATTCATGTCTTTATGAACCTTGCTTTGTTCACTGGTGTGTAGTCATGTTGGAACAGAAAGGGGCCATCCCCAAACTGTTCCCTGTTCCCACAAAGTTGGGAGCATGAAATTGTCCAAAATAGCTGACACTTTAAGAGTTCCCTTGGAACTAGGGGGCCAAGTCCAACCCTTAAAAACATCCCCACACCATAATCCCCCTCCACCAAACTTTACACTTGGCACAATGCAGTCAGGCAAGTACTGTTCACTTGGCAAGTGCCAAACCCAGACACGTCCACCAGATTGCCAGACAGAGAAGCGTGATTGGTCACTCCAGAGAACACATCTCCACTGCTCTAGAGTTCAGTGGCGGTGTGCTTTACACCACTGCATCCGACGCTTTGCATTGTACTTGGTGATGTAAGGCTTGGATGAAGCTCTCTACGCACTGTTGTTGTGCTAATCTGTAGGCCACATGAAGTTTGGAGACTTTATCTATTGACTTTGCAGACAGTTGGCGACTTCTGCACACTGTGTGCTTCAGCATGTGCTGACCCCGCTCTGTCATTTTATGTGGCCTACCACTTCATGGCTGAGTTTCTGTTGTTCCCAGTTGCTTCCACTTTGTTATAATACCACTAACAGTTGACCGTGGAATATTTATTAGCAAGGAAATTTCACGGATGGACTTATTGCACAGGTGGCAACCTATCACGGTACCACTGAATTCACTGAGCTCCTGAGAACGACCCAATCTTCACAAATGTTTGTAGAAGCAGTCTGCATGCCTAGGTGCTTGATTTGAATCCAATGATTTGGAGGGGTGTCCCAGTACTTTTGGCAATATAGTGTGTATGTATATATATATATATATTTATATACACATGTATGTACATATATATATATATTGAAACCTTAAACAACTTTTATTTGCTGACAACTGATGAAAGCAATGAAATAGGGGGTTGCAAAAAGTAAAATGAACTGGATGTGAGGAAGCAACTACTAATAGTGTTTTAAAAGGGTGGTGACATATGGCATGTTCCCGTTAAAAATGAGCAATATTCATAAACATAATATTACCCTAGTAGTGGCATGTTGAAAGTGAAATTCTTGTCAAATGCAAGTGATTGAAGATACTGTTTGCATGTTGAAACACTCATGCTGTTGTAACAGAGGAGGATTTGCCAGGCACTTTAACACGTCACCACTGAAGTGATTTCAGCTGGAAAGGCTGAGAACATTAAAACAGCTGTTCTATGACACGGGTATATTTTCTAATAGCAAGATGTTCTAAGGGCAATTACCAGGAAATTGTTTAAATAGACACTTTCCTTACTGAAATGTATAGTTTACTCCAAGCTCCAGCCATTTTTTTTAAAGAGAATGAAGAAGGGTAAGGTTTTATTGCTGTCTGACTGTTGAAGAGATTTCCCATCACTTTTCATTGCTGTGATGCTAGACCAACAAACAAGTGGAGTGGATATCTCTGGGACAGAAAGATGCAGACAGCAATAAAATCCTCACAGCAGTTCTAATCATTCCCAGTTCTACCAACATACTGGCTCTGTCCCTGTTGCCAAAGCCAAGTAGGAAGTGAGGGAAAATTTCCCCAACAAATCTACAGACAGCAATAAAAGTCTAACGCTGGTTCTAAGTTTCTCCTGTTTTGTTGTAAAAGGTTTTAGCTGAAGTTGGACTTAAGTGTGTTGCATTGTTGTAAGTATGTTACATTAAAAAAAATAAAGCTCAAATTCATAACCAATCCCAGATAACTAATAAAGAGAACCAGTAAACATTCATGCAATCCAAGAACCAATATAGCTTTTTTAGCACACAACATTTCTCTTTAATCCACTGTGCAATAATTGCTATCAAACTTATTGAACTTTTCACTCAGTGTCATGGTGGAACTATAGTCTCTCATCATGTGATCAGTAATGTGCAACCTCCTTCTCCTGCTCTAGTGTGTGTAGGCAAAGATGCAGAGTGGACAGTACTGGAATCTGCAAACAGAAAACCCTTTTTGCAAGCTCTAGTTCAGAGCCATTCAAAAGATAAGGTTGACAAGTATAGGGATTCAGAAAGCAAGGCAACCAACTGCAGAGGATGTAAGCCAGAATTAGACAGGTTGTAGACACAAATTGTGAACAATTAGAAAAAAAATACTATTGATTTATTTCTTTGCCTTGCATAAAAATAATAAAACCAGCAGACTACGATCGCCTTGTTTGTAAACATCCTGTCATCGCACAATTGTATGAATATGTGCCATCTGGGAGTTGTAGGACAGATATATTTGTTATTACTTCTAATGCCTAGTGGATATCATGTAAATGTGGTAAAGGATATTAAGTGTTTCTATTGCTGATATAGCACCATACCTCTCAATAAACATTTATTATATATATATTTATTAAAAAAAAAACTATAAAACTTCCAAACATTTTTATAATTTTCACATTTGTTCACTCTCCTGTTGATCATAGATCGTAAAATGCACCGGGCAGCAGATTCCTTTGAAACAGAGTGATGTGATAAAAAGTATCTCCAAACCATAATGACTATTTTTTTTTCAAATTCTATACTTTGGCATACACTGAACATTTCATAGCATATAACCTAGTAAAATGTACAGTTCAAGAATTTAAGAGCCCAAGGGAGGCAAAGAAACAGCTATTATAAAACCACACATAAGAAACTATATAAACAATCATTGTAGAAATACTGTTTGCTGGAACCAGGCACAAAAACAAAGAATAGTTATAAGGAACATGGACTGGTTTTATTGTTTATAATATAGCAATGCAAAGCACAGTGCAGCCACTGATCTAAGTATGCTTTCTTTTTGTAATAAAGCAGAGGGAATCTAGAATAGGAGTGGGGAGGAGATGGAAAAAGAGACGGCAGAAAAAAAAAAATTGGAGGGGGGTGGTTGGGCCCGTGTGTAGAGAGTTCAGAGAACCTCTCTGGTAAGCTGAGGTCACTTCTAAAGTTGAGTCTGAGATATTAGATTGGTATTCTTGGTTAAACTGAAACTCATGCCAGTAGAACCAGATTCCATTTTTTTTCCTGGAGTTTCAGAGAGGAAATGAGGTTTTCCATTCACATGATGTCATTAATGGTGGGCATCCATTGGCTGACTGAGGGTAGATTAACATATTTTCATCTACCTGGAATACAGGTTCTTGCTGCATTCAGGAGGTGACTGAGGAGAGAATTCCTTTTTCTAGGGAGTAGGTTAAGATGGAGAAGGAATGCGGCATGATCATTTTTCAAAGTTATCCCTGTAAGTTGGGTAATCAACCTCTTTTCAATATTTTTGCAAAAGTGTGCTTGACCAAAAAATATGGAGCAGTGCTTCTCTATCAGTATTGCATTGCTAAAACATCAGGGAAAACTATGGAACATTTTATTAAGGAGGACGGAAACCCTATACCATCTGCTTAAATGTTTGTACTTGGACTCCTGGATTCTGCCAGAAATAGTTGATTTATGTGTAGAAAACAGCACATTGTCTGTTGCTCTGTTGTTAGTATTTGCTCATGTTTCTTCCCTCGAGGTCTTCACCATGTTGTGTCATATTGAAATTGCATGTTTAAAAGGGTCAGTGTTGAGCATAAGTAGCTGTCAGTGTGGAGGCTGAAGGTTTGCGTTTCGAGGAGACAAGTAAATGTCTTGTTTGCACGGTTTTCCACCTTTTTTAGTTGTGGGTCAATTGCTGTTTGAATGTCTGCTATAGTTTTCAGACATTTATGGGGAATAAAATGACGGACTCTAATGTTGTTAGTGTATATAATAGGTCTCAACTGACAGACTTGAATGCTGGGCTGCATACCACTGGTATCATCATCAAGCTACATGGGTTTAAAAGAGAGACAAATTGCTTTGCTCACCACGTTTAGGGTTGTACCTAACATGGGGTGGTTTTTAATATGCAGAGGAATCTCTTGTTAGATTCAAGGTAAAGCAGGTAGAGGAATATCTGACTTTTCTTGTTGCAGGTCTACTCAAAATTTTACCTATTGAGTGCTTGCACCAGTCAGACACGTTTGCCAGATGTATCATGTTATGATACGTGGTAGGGTTCCAGAAAGCTGAAACTTCTGTGTTCTTTGTAAAAATATTATTGAATTGGTAATTTTCTGAGTCCTATGAGCCAGGTGAAATCCAATGCATGCACTTTTTAGGATTCAAAGAAACAAAGTGGTTATGTGTATGGGAAGTGTTTGTAGAATGTATAGGAGCTTGGGTATGGCATTCATTTTGATTATACTGTTTCTACCAAACCATGTATAGGAGTCTTTGTCCCATTGCTTGAAATCTTGATGGATCATGGTTAGGAGAGGAGTTCCTCACATATATTATCAATAGTTTAGGTAATATGTAATCCTAGGTATTATAATTTTTTGGTAAGTCTATCTGAAAGGAAAGTTGGGCTTGATAATAGAAAGTCAGGATGAGTTAATTTTAACATATTGTGCTTCCCATTTGCTTAGAATCATTTTTAAGTTATAGTTCTGTGTACCTCTCTAATTCTCCAATAATTGGGTGATTGTGGTTTCTGGTGTATTTTACCAGCATTCTTCACCTACAGAGCTGGGCTCAATGGTAGAAATGAGGAGAAAGCAGGAGTGGAGAGCTATATATACAGTAATCACATGTGAAGAAACACATACATGCTTAATTCCTCTAATGCCATCTTTAGTAAAGTTTTTATAGATGAAATAGGCCTCCAACTGAGGACTCTATATCATGAGTAGACTAGGTGTGAAGAACCATAATGACTATGTCTAACACTTGGAAGTGCCCATTGTCAACCAGATGATAAGCTATACCCTGCCTATTTATTGAATGTGACACTATAATTAGATAAGGGCATTGTAAATATTGTATGTATATAGGCTGCTTTCCTAGTCCTATAGAGGGGTGGTTCTCTCTAGTCAGGAAACAGACAGCAATAAAACCTTTTCAGATGGTGTAATCCTTCCCCAGTCTATCGAAAACTAAAGATACATCTATATCTTTGCACACATATTTGAAAGCAAACCGGTGAGTCATTTTAAACTATTGAATAAAGAAAACCCTGTTCAAAAGCAACCACTGCAAGATGCCTGCTGTTATCTAGAGAGACGGTATTCTAATTACACAGCAGGAAGGCAAATGAGTACCCATTACCCATTTTCCTTCCCACTGTGTAATCAGAGTAGGGCTATTAGCCAATAAGGCATTTAAATTGAATTGGTAGCAGTGGGTTTAGCTTAGCCCCATAGTCAGGATATTTTAGCCATGAGAGGAGTGTTTTCTAACTAACATAGGCAGGTGTCTAGTACAGTCTACTCTTTGGTAGGGCTAGTAGCTGCTGATGGTTAGCAACTTAAAATGGCCAAAAAGTTAGCTTTAAAATTTTGATTTACTTTATTTTATATATAGCTGACTATTTACCTCTAGATTTATTTTTGTATTATTTAAGAATACCTTTTTTTTTATTCTTTATTCATGTCCATAGTTAAAGACACAACACGCGTAATGACAATTCAACTCACAGGTGAAGCAAAGCGTGAAATTAGATGCATAATGAAAACACAAAAATATCAATATAATAGGCAAGGGCTGTTACACACTGCA